TTTCTTGAAGAACATGCATTCAAAGCTTTTTTTAGATTTATTTGGTTCTGCTTCCGACCCAAAACACTCTTACAAAATACGACAGACTGATGTGACCCTTTGGTTAACAAAAACTCCTCAAATCTATTTTATTATTACTTATATTATTACTTATAGTTAAGAGATTCACTGTTTGATTTTCTCAAAGGGTCTGATTGGTGCATTTCCAAGCTTTTCACTCATAGCCATACCTTAAGAATATTTCGCAAACTGATTTATGAAAGAAAGTTTTTTGTTTTTAACAGATTATACAATTACTGTCATAAAATGAGAACAGTTTCATAATCTGCTGTTTCTGCTTTTATAACCTCTACACATAATAACAGACAATCTGCAGGAGGGGGAATGAGTCTGACAGAAAATGCTGTCATCTCGCGTTACACAACATGTGCAATCGTATTTTTGGAGCTTGACCCACACTTGGCATCGAAACTCTAGATTTCCGAGCCCCTGCAGCTTCACTCATCAGCACTGTTCCTACAAGATATGTCGGCAAGTCTTACTTGTCTCAACTTTATGTAAAAGCTTTTATGTGAGCAGATACTTGTATCCTATTTTTGCCAAACGGACGCGTTTAAGAGATAAACTCTTTTTACACTGGGGCTGGGACTTTAAACACAAACTCTTACACACTACCTGAGACAAACAGTTTAGTTTAGTTTGCTGTCCCTTTACAGCGACATCAGGACAGACATCAGCCATTAGCTGCAGTCTAGCAGAGAGTGAGGAAGCCATTAGTGGGGACATTAGAGAGGATGAGGCAGCAGAGAAGAAAGGCAGCTCACCCTTGGCACGGTGGTCCTCCTCTTTGGGACACTGGCCTCCGTCCCACCACCCCCTCTTCAGAATCTCCAGCCTGTTATTCTCATGCAGCTGGAGGATGGCCTGCGTGATCTCTTCTCTGAATGGAGATCCTGGCAGAAGACAAAGAGGCAAGATAAGAGCCAGCACTGGAAAGGTGCAGCACAAGGATCAGGGGCTATTTTGGTAAAGGAGAGAAAAAAAAAAACATGAAATGATAGCAGACTTAGGAGTAAAAGACAGAGCATAGCTGCATCCAGCTTTGAAGTGGATACAAGTGATCTTGTGGTAAGTAGACAGAGAAGATTAGAGAGATAAACAACAAGATTAAATCCAGAGGCAGAGACAGTGGTACAGCTGCAGCTCAAGCAGAAATCAAAGAGTGTTATGAGATGCATCCACAAGAGCAGAGTGGGGAGATTTAAAGGGTAAATGTACTAAAAATTGCGAGTATTAAGCCATAAATACATGAAAGTTGACTGTAAGGAGCAGATAAATCTCTTTATGAAAAAGCTGCCAGCTGTTTCAGCAGATTAACGGTGAGTATCGTTTGGATGAGCAAAGTCAAAACTGCTTAGAAAGGAAAACAAACAGAATTCAACGTCTGAATTCGACCTTCTTTAAAGCAAAAAACAAAACACAGAGTTGTGACGTTACTTTGGATTATTTGCTCAAGCATCGTCTTCTGACAGTCAATGCTCCACATAATCAATAAAACTAAGCAGGATCGCTGCTTTATTTATTATTCCCTTTAACACTTTTAGACAACAACAAAGATCCCATCAAGTCTTTACAGTCCTACGCCAAAACTTCCTGTCCACCGTTTCCTTCAGAAAAATATAAATGCTTCTCCTTCCTTTCTTTCGTTCTGTTTCATATCCCTCTCTTCTCTCCCCTGATCCATAGCAGAAAGTCCAGCCAAGACTGGGCCCTTCATTAAAACAGACCGATGAATCGGTGACACAACCACCATGGGCTAAACAGTGAAAAAGGCTTTAATAGACCCAGGCACGAGTTGAAAAGCAATTAACTTCCTTTTCATTACTTCCACTTCAAATACTTTCTAATCCCATAGATAAAAACTAAATCAACACAAGCCTTTTTTTTTTCCTAAGATCTAATCACACAAATCAGCCAAAAGTACACGTGTCTGTTTAGCATATCTGATCTCAAGCAAATGTTTCAGCTTTTCTTGCAGGCAATGGCTTTTTAATCCCGCTCCTCTTTCGCTTTGTTGGTAAAGTTTACACTGCGAGATGTGAGATTAATCCCTGTCGGGCACGTTTTGCAACACTGTGCCCTTTCTTGGAAATGTTCAGTCACTGTGCCACTTCCTCTGCAGCTGTTCACCGGTTCTGCAGATCGTTCCTCACTCCGTTTCTCAGAGAGTTCACTGGGGCTATAGGTGACCTACTTTACCCTCAACTGTAAATAGCTCCTGGAATAATGACTGAGTCCCTTGGCTGATTCAAGACAGCAACAGTTCATAACTTCTCTAAGGAAATGCAACACTGAGGTATGTCACAGAGAACGTCACCGTGGAATTGAACAAAACAAAAGACGTCCCTGCGGAGCTGGCATTGAAACTCTGAGGATCCGTCCTGCTGCATTTATCATCTTATTCACTATTGCAGTAGGTCTAAAAAGTTTACACATCCCTGTTAAAACGTCAGTTTTCTGTGATGTACATAAAGGCCGATTATCTCAGGAACCTTTTAACCTGTAATCAGAGCCATAAAACCTAAAATCTTTTTGGTGGAATAATATTAAGAATGTGGTTGCACAGAATGTCATTTATATGGTAACACTTTATTTGAAGGGGGGTGAATAAGACTGCAGAATGAACAACCAGATTCAAATCCAGGTTAAAAAAAAAAAGGTTTCAGCACATGCCCTAACTTTTAAAGTGCCTGTGATTAACCCAGTTCATTATATGTTCATTTTCTTTCTGTATTCACATTCGCAGTTTTCTATTCCTTCCCGTCTGTAGTGTCATTGTTCTGTTCTCAAGCAATTTTACCACCTTATGAAAGAGCTCTGCGACTGTGACAGACAGCCTGTGATTAGGTTTCCTGGGGTCTCGACTCTGTTTGGCACTATAAGCTTCAACCTTTCATATCTGAAGCCAAATAAGAATTAACAAATGAAGGAGTTTAATGAAGAAATACAGAGAAAACAGGCGGAAAAAAGACATTTAAAACAAAGACTGGAGGTAGGCTTTAAATTAGTTCACTTCTTTAATTTGTATGCTGATGTACTTGATAACAACCCGGATGTTTTTCCTCGTTTATGTATTGAATTATAGGTATAGATGATCACAAAATGATCAAACCTTACGTGTACTTTCTTTTGTTTGGAGATTGTTTTGTGAAGATTTCATTTTAATTATATAACTTGCATATTAATTCCACTACTAGTCCAGGTGTTCGCTAGTCAGTTCTTCAAAAAGCAGATTTTAAACCTCGACCAAACTGAAATATATAGAAGAGACAGGTAGATAGATAAGACAACCACATTTCATTTTATGAAAACCAGTAGCAAACTGCTACTTTTCATACCCAACACATCCTGAACAAAAATTACTTAGTCAAATTATTCAAGGGAAAAATGTTATTCATGTGCCCAAGATAATAAACAAACCATTTCACTACAATCTAAAATAAATATTTCCTTTTGTCTAAGTTTACTTTAAATTTAAAAGCCTACAGTAAATTCCTAAAATAAAATGATTTTTACAACTTCAAAGTTTTTAGTTAAATAATGCAGCACAGTGCTAATTGTCTCCAATCTCCATACAGATACAGCAAAACTCTGCAGGGTTACGAAGCACAGAGTTTCAAGGTTATGTGGTATTAAATTGACCAATAATTTCAATAATTTATTGACGTGTCACCGGTCTAATCAGAGACATAACGGCTGTATCGGCTGTGACCTTTAAGCTCCAGACGTGTCAGTAGAGGGAAAAAATACAAAAGCCGATTGTAGCCTTTGAAGCCTGAAAAACCACTTAATCCTTATTGACGATGTTTATGCTTCTTTTTGAAAAATCTTTAAGAAGCTCACACACTCATTAATTCACAAACACGTCTTGATCTGTTTGTTTCCTTTCAGATAGTTTTTAAGTTATTGATGTTTTATATTCCACCGTTTTATTTCTGAAAGCATATTGACATTAGGATATGAAATCCGATCTACTGAATGTAATAAGAAGCTAAATCTGCCTATCAGGGAGACAAAGATTATGATTCTTACTGGAGCCATTGAACACAAATTTCAGTATAATAAGGATAAGAAAACCTGTCATTCTAAAGTGCTTTTTTATAGACCTCATATTATAGTTTAGTGTTTTTTTCCATCCCCTCTGAGTTGCAGGGTAGCTTCCTGCAGAAACATTTTTTCAGTCTAAACCATGTAACAGATTACAAATGTTAATTGTTTTTTCACTTATACAGCAACATTGATATGGATCATATGCTATTTGTTTATTTCATGTATGCTACACATACAGATATATACGAATGCCTTCAAATATTAATGTAGACTTTTAATGTTAAATTATCTTTACTGCAATCTCCAAAAAAGTACATTTTGGAGATTTAAGTTACCTGGTATGTTCTCTTGTCTTTCCTATTTAGAGAGTGACTAATAGAAATAGGCTTCATGTCGTACTAAGCTCTCAGGAAAGCAAAAAAATAAAGAAAAACTGTGGATTACTAAAGAAAAGTATCTTAAAAGTCTAATCAATAATTATAAAGTAAAACATGTTTCTGCTACTTTTAATTCATAGGAATTGCCAGTAGTTAAGTTTTCTGTAAATAAAAAAAATCCATAAGTGGGTTCTTTAATTAATTCATTTATTGCATGCTGTAATACATAAAGTAAATGTTGATCTATAAATTAATAGATATCAAACCTATATCCAGAAAAAATCAGTGCAGTGTAAGATAAACATTGCCCATTTGTTCTGTTATTTGCATTTTTATTTTGGTCATACAATTATTTCTAATGTTTTTGCACATTTTCTTCTCACATTTGCTCATCTCTACTCTCACCACAGTTTGTTTCTGTTTTTCCATTTTATTTATACTTTGAGGAATCAAGTTCCAGGATGAAATGCTTGTTACATCAACAGCGGCTGTAGGAGCTCATAAACGCTCCCTAGTCTCACCTTAACCACACGCAGCAACCTGTAATGTTAACATAGCAGGAGCGACGATTCTGCTGCAGCAATATTTATCTTTCAGTCAAATTGTTCCAGACACAAACTCACCAAGCCAGAGAACATCACTTAAGTACAACTAAAGAGGAGGAGGTAAAATAGCAAAACATTGAACAGAAAGACAATAAAATAAAAAAGCAAAAGGGAAGAAAAGAAACAGAAAAGAACATTATGAAGAAAAAGTAGAGGATAGAAATAAATATTTATCCATTTATACCTACTCAAATGACACACAAAGAAATATATCTTCTTCTGTTTGATTTTAACCCTTACAATTACTGTAATTTGTTCAGCTGTAGCTCTACTGTTTACATGATGGACCTCTGTTTGCTTTGTTATAAAAGCGGTTTTTGCTCCATGCTTACCTAGCGGCATGCCGATGCCGTAGCCCTTGGTGTCCAGCAGTCCTCCTATCTGTGTGAGGTTGCAGTTGAGGCCGCGGTGATACTCGTTCATGGTGCTCTCCATCAGGAAGGCGTACTTGGAGTTGAGAACACGGGCGATGCCCTCCTCTGTGCTTTTCACAAAAACGCTGGGCAGTTTGGAGTTCATGTAGTTCCACATCCGCTGGTACGTCTGGTACCGAGAGTTCTGCACAGAAATGGGACAACGGCAGTGGGAAGAATTATCTAAAATATCAATTAAAATGTCTATGAATGCAAAAAGGATGAACATAAAATAAGATATATGCATCCTGGAGAAAAATGGAAAAGTAAGAATATTCAATAATGTTAACCTGAATAAAATATATAAGGCAAGCAAGAAAAAAGGAGGAAATATAAGGAACATTTTGGTTCTAGCTCAGTTGGATGACACCACAAATCGAAACAGAAACACATGTTTTCAGCTGGTTTGTTGTCTGCAACACCCAGACATTTTGCTTCGATAGTAGCATGTCAGCAAATAAACGCAAACACACGCTCTAAAGGTGTGTTTTTCCCTTCAGTGGAGTCTGAAAACAACAATGTATGTGGAGAATAAAAGGGTTCACACACCGTCTGAATTCAGCCATCAAGACAAATGCAAATAAAACAAACCCTAGACAAGTCAATCAGAGGAAACAGGGGTAAATACTGGATTGGATTTCACTCGGAGGGTTCTGAGAAAACACAACTTAGCCGTGGTTCTGTTGCACTGCTGAATTATAACCAATCACATCACTTGTTCAGCAGCTGTGCTGCTTTTACACTGCGTGGCTCTGTTGCTAAAATTGCCATCTGGTGGGTTTACCATGAAACAAAGATTATTCTGATAGTATTTTTAAGCCATTTTAAATGTTAGGTCAATAAACCTGACATCTCGGCTGCAACTGTTTACTGGAGGTTAAAGCTGTGGGCGACTCCAGCGATAAAACAACCTTGCAAAAGTTTCACACTACTATGCAGTTATGAATGCCATTGCTTTCACTGTGATGGTTCATCGCAATGCAATTATAAAGCCCAGACATTCATTTTAGTGCTTTATCGTGATAAACGATATAAACATAGCATTACCCTTGCAGTGAGTTATTTCCTGTTATGCTGTTAATAAGACTTGGAAACAGAAGCAACAACTATTATGGTCTGTCTTGCCTCACTGATGAAGCTCCATTTAGGCACCTCAGTGTTGACTGGGGTGAGAATGCAAATTAGAAATTTTCTTGGGAAAAAGTTTGATTTGTTTTGTGTTCATCTAGTAAAAAGTCTTGGAGTTTTGCAACTTTTGAAAAGCTTTCATGACAAACTTCAACTTAACACTACGATAAAGAAAATTGGAAAGTATTAATTCCCTATCTGCTTTTGAACATGTCATATAAGAACTGGAAGCTTCACTGTACTTCATTAAGAATCTGTCAAACATAAAGAAGTGCAGAGCTATAAAGTGATGCACAGTTTTGAAAATAGTTTAGAAATAAGATATGAGTTGGATGAATTGTAGAGAAGTTTAATGCAAGCTTTGGGATATTGGAGCATTTTGGTTTTACTGTCATATTGTTCGCTTGTCGTCAGTACGGACGACTCTACAGTAGAGTTTTCATTTGTAAAATATCTGTTCTTTTCTGCATGACTACGTGGCTTAATGTGGGCTCAAAAAGGAAAATGAGCTTACACAAATGACAGGCACTTTGTGTGCGTTTATTTTCTGGTTTAAAACATAATTGAAGCCATCTAAAAATAAAAATAGTATCACATCACTGCAGACCTGTGAAGATCTGGCCATCAAACTAAACTGAAAAGTCTGGTAAGGAGGGGAGACAAGTGCTTTAGTTTTATCTTGAAGAAGTGTAGATGTTCGCCCAGAATTGTCCTTTACGGAGGCTTGATAAGATTAAATTGTTGGAAAAAATAAAAATAAAAAAATCACAAAATATCAACCCATAAGCCATTTCAGTCTCTGGATGTAAGACTTAAAGTATGTTTGCAATCAAGCACTAATCCACGATGGTTTACCATCTAAAAGTTGCAATTATTAAAATTTTTTAGCATTTTGTGTTTTTTATGGCAGATAGTTTATGTTTACAGTATGTATTTTAAACTGAACATGTGAGAAAACAGGAAGAGAGTGGAGAAGGTAATAATGCGTGTAGGCTTTGTATGTTTCTGTGGATCAGGCACCGAGTGCGGTAATGGGGCGTAACAATGAAACCGGCTTATGAAGACAAACACAAAACACTCCATTCCATCTATAGTCAGGACAGAAAGGGAAAAACAAACACCACTTGTCATGTAGTCACTTCCTTTAAATGCACATAAATATATTTTTTAAACTCTCACCTGCACACGTTCCCAAAGGCTAACAAACCAACATCAGAGAGAGAGAAAAACACACACACACACACACACACACACACACACACACATCACGACAAGCACAGATGTCAACTCAGATGCCTGGAGCGCTCTCATAAAACAAACACAGGCAGTCACCCACCTAATACAAGCCGCCATAAAGAAGAGCACACACAAACTCAGAGGAAATGTCACAACAAACATTCAGCCTACTAGCAGGATACAAGCTACATACAAACACTTTAGAAAACGCAATAAAGCAACACCATGAATCTGTAAAATCCACTAAAAACAAAAAGAAAAGAAAAACATGATCATGCATATGAACTCGCGGTATGCAACTTTATTTCAAGTTTAGTAAAAACTCAAAAACAGTTTGTAAAAGAAAGCTCTGAAGCATAAAATAATCATAAGACCATAATTCCTCTTCTCTGCTGGATTCAAAACTACAGCATCCATTCTGTTGTACATTTTCATTTGTCATTGTCACATTATAACAAAATTTGCACAAATTACTCTGCATTTTAATCCTTGGAAAGAAAAAAAAACAAATCTGTAAATCAGACCTTGAAGAAATCAAACCTATTCTGTGCATCTCTAATACAAACATACTACAAACTAGCAGCAGAAGGACGGTTTTTACCATGAAGAAAGTCATGGTGCTTCCTCCATGAATGGTGCCGTACTCGATGTTGGTCTGGTCAGCCAAATCATCTGGAGACTCGATGGGAACCTCCATCCTCTGAACGGTCAGGAAGGCTGCCAAGTTGGCCGTGTAGGAGGAGATGATGATGAGCGTGAACGCCCACCTTGAAGGGGACGAAAACCAGGAGAGATCAGGTTACTGCAGGTCTTCTCTCATCTGATCTACATACATACAGGAGAAAATCAGATTGTTGAGCTGGGAAATTACCTTTTCTTGGCAAGGGCCTTTTTCTGGTATTGCAAGGATTTGAAAAGTTTTTTTTTTAAAACCACTTACATTTTCTGTGCTGTAGTTTCTATTGTTTAAAACACAAAGTTTCAGCACAGGCAGCGTTTTCTCCCCCCTCACTCATGCTTTTGTGCACCCTTCCAGCCACACAGACAGATTTCCTTTGCATATGAGTAAGACAATGACAGCTGTTTGGAAAGTCATTGCACTGAATATAAAACAGCACCACCCATCACTCTCATTAAGGTAACCCTGTTTTGAAAGTACAGCTCCAAAGCCAAGAGTGCCATTTCTGCAGGCGTCAGCACCTGAGCATATGGCTCCGCTAATATTATCTTCCTAGCCTTTTACTATACAAAAACTAAATTATTTAAATAAAAAAAAAAGAAAAAGCATTCTTCATTTACTTTAAAAACTGGAATTAGTTAAAGTTACACCAACTTTTTGTTTCTTGGTTTTGTTTGCAAAACAATACTCTCATTTATTGGTCAGCATGCATAGAACAAAAACATGGAGTTGAAGTCCCCACACTCAAATTAGTGATTTATGGTGTGCATGAATACAGAATGTATGTGTAAGTGTTGCATTGTGCTAGAAAAATTACACTTAAACCTGAGGAGGTTGAACCAGCACCTGATGGCTTGCTGATCCAGTGAACCTGCTTTTATTGTGGAATAACTTTTATGAGTAAATCTTCGGTGACATTACACAGAACTTTATGAAGTCACATATTGATATTCATCTTCACTTACACTATGTGTGTTATAATGATTAAGCTCATAAAGAGTTTTGTAAGCATCAGTTTTTCAGCAGCTGAACTCTGCCTGCCCGTCGGTTCCAGTTCCAGTAACTCTGACTTCTTCAGCATACCCAGAAACTTCAGACAACTTCAACCTCAAAAACCTTCTGGGAACAGTTTAGGGATCTATTGTTCCTGTTCCAACATGGCTGAGAATCACTACAAAAAGACAGTCAGGCATTCATACAGAGCAAAAGGGTCTGACCTCAGAAAGGCTTTCTATATTCAGAAATCCTGATAAATACATTCTTGAATTTTGTGGAAAATTTCCCAGAAAAGTCGTAGATGTTGTTGCTGCAAAGGATGAGCCAATAATGTCATTATAACATTTGCATTAAGAATGGGATATCACTAAAGTTCATATGTGTATGGAGGTAGATTTTTGGCATTAAGATACACACATGATGACACATGACATCTCCTGGATTAATGCTTTTTTTTTTCCACACTATAAAAACGCTTACAAATTAAAACTTTGAAATGTTATATTTCTTCACAATATCGTCAGTAAAAAAATAAAAATAAATTTTGCTTTAATTCACTCTCAAATCTTAGAAACATTGTAAAAACAGTAGTTAAATATTTGAGATGTTTTAACAGTTATAACCTTGTAGAAACTGGACGTCCTTGCTTACCTAGCAGCTTATTTCAAAAGGAACATCACGTTCCAGACACGTTTTTAATTTTCCCCCTCACTCAACTGAGTGATCTGCTGTTCCTGTCCTTTTCCTCCGTCTCCTCTGCTCGCAGCGCTTACTTCTTTCTCAGCACATGTCTTTCAGAGCTCCCTCGGGAGCATCATCAAACTTGAATTTTTTGTTGGCTTTGCATTTGTACATTATTTGCATAAAATATTGACACTCAGGAATAAGAAACTTTTGTGTCAGCTATTTACCCCAAATCCCAAGACTGCATTTAATATCTAAATATTCTGGCAGAAATGCAACAAAATAACTGCTTACAAGATACAAGTCATTGTTAAGTGTCTTCCCACATCTTTGAACACAAAAAGCCTTTTCAATTTGTGGTAAGACGACTAAAAGAGAAATAAACACAGCTGGCCTCTAGAGAAGCTCTCAGAATCACAAAGTGGTTAAATCTTCTTATTCTCTCTCATACATTAGCTTCCACATTCAGTCACATCACAAACTCTGCATGTCCTTAAACTCGTTCTCAAGATGTGCGCAGGTAAAAACTAAAAGCAGCCTTTCCGCCCAAATGTCTTTTTACAACATCAAGGTCAAACATCGAAACAAGGAGACCATATAAAACCCATCTCTAAGACGACGGGGAGGCGTTAAGCTGCAGAGGCACAGAAACAGCCTCACTCCTCTCTAACTCACCACACACCGCTGACACATCTGGTGGACAAGGCTCTGGGCATTATCTCTGATCCCTGCTGCATGAAGCCGCCGATGGGGAACCACAGGCTGTTTCCCAGTGTGTACTGGTTCTCCAGTATGTCCCTGCGCTCCCGCAGACACGGTTGAGGGTTGTACCACTCGTAGGGGCTCAACCTGGCGAGAGAGGGGGAGTCCGTTGAAGCAACCTTCAGCTGTTGCACGGTGATGCACCTCTGTCGTTTAAACAAGCCAATCAGTCATACAACCCCTGTCAAGCCGTGTGAGGGGACATGTCCAGGGGAAAGATGATAGATGACAGGTGGCTTGTGTTTAGCAATATAAATGGCAAGAGAGCTCAGATGTGAGCTGCAGACAATCAGCGCAGTGTGTGATGTAATGGACTGACCTTGCTGCCAGGAAGAGCACGCAGCTGACAGCCAGGTAGGCGAGTAACATGAAGAGCCAGACAGCTGGAGAGAAAGGATCCAGGAAGGAGAAGTAGCCTGGCTTCCGACCCTGAAACAAGGTGGAGAAAGAAGAAGTAAAGACGCAGATAGATGAGAAATCTGGGACAGATGGGGACAGACAGAAGCTGCTATCAAAGGTGTCCCCTTCGCACCACAGGAGGGCAGTGTACTCCCCCTCACTTTAATACAGAGTCTGCAGTGCTTTGATACTCTAATGCTTCGATCCATGAATGCTGTTTAACAATGCTGTCTGCCAGAGCGCGCCTGGCGCAGGCCCAAAACCTCATTAGCAATGTAAAGCTGCCACTGTAACACAGCTCTGACTTACTGAGCAAAAATAAATTCTCACTATAAACTGCATTGAGGACTTACACTAATACAATCAAAGGGATCAACTCTCGAGCAATAAGCGGTTTCGCTCGTTTCAAGCGACTTCGGCCTGGCGTCTTCTTCATCAATGGGAGGACTTAAAAACATATCAAATCCAGTACAGGATCTGAAGTAAGTATCAGCCAGCAGGTGGCCGACAGCCCGAGATAACACCCTCACCAATTGAACTCGGTACAAGATGCTGATCCCCAGGGTCATGAAAGGCTTAGAGAAGTCGATAACTTTCTCCCTCTCTGATGTGATGGTGAAGCCTGCCACGGCCAGGTCCGCTTTCTGGAGGATTGACACAGATAGATGGGTGGGTAGATAGCAGCAGGGGTGAGCGGGAGATAGACGCGGCAAAGGACAAGAGAAAAAGTACAGAAAGTGGTCAGCAAAAAAAAAAAAAAAGAAAGAAAGACACAGTAACATGTTGATACCAGTTTCTTGCTTTTTATAGTTTTACACATACTCCACTGTAACTGATTTGGATTTTAAATAAACAATTATGATGTGGAAGGAAAATGATTCTGTTCCTTACTTAATATTAAATTACAACATTTTAAGATAATACCTCATTGGCAGTGTTGCACCGAAATAAAATGTGACCCAGTGAATCACTTTCAGAAGAGTCCACATGTGCATAATCTGATCTATTTTTAAACCCAGCTGTTCAGAGAAAACAGTTCAACAGAGCAAACATAGAAGAGGGCACTTTGGTATAAAATTGAACTTTCCGACCTTCGTGTAAAAGAAATATGTGGGGGAAAAATGCAGGGTGGAAAACTAACACTATTTTTGTGCTTGTAGAAATTGCTTCTGCTCTGAAATATGGTGTTGGCAGCATCATGTTGGGGGGAGAGTTCTTTTCAAAAGTGACAGATAAGCTTGTAAGAGTTTATGGGAGTTTATGTTGAAGCAAAATAAAGAGTAATCCTGGAGCCAAACCTGCTACAGGCTGAAAAAAAAACGTGACGACTGGGATGGAGGTTGAGCTTCAAACAGGAAAACAAACCCGAACATTCAGCAAGAGCTAAAATGGAAAGGTTCAAAAATAAAAAAATAAAAAAATCGCAACTTTGTGGTATTGAAGTTCAGAGATGCTTTCAACCAAACAGGATCTATTTTGGAAAGAAGCTGAGAAAAATCATTGGTGAAAACAAAGGCAGCACAATTTTTTGGCTGCTATTTGTTACATTTCTTGTCTTTCATCATTTTCTGTTCTTGCACTTGGTTGCAGTTTTGTGGATGTAAAGGTTTATAGTGTACAGAATGTCCCTCAGTGGGAAAATTCAGGTGCAAAAGTTTGAATACTTCTGCAAGGCACCACACTGAGCGGATGTTAAAAGTTCACTGTGCCACCTTTCATGAAATATGCAGACGTGCTATTTTCTCTTGCACACGCTCGTACTATTTCTCCATGATCCAAATTAAGCTAATTGAAAGTAAACACTAGGTCCCTGGTCTTTCCACCTGCATAAAACCTGCAGGTCTCTGGTCGTTCTGCCTCCCCTTCATCTCTTCCATTAAAAGCTAATTGATGAACACGGGCTACTAATTACAGCCGAGTGATCGGGCTACGAGGAGGGCGGGGAGGGTGAGGAAGCATGGAGAGCCGGGGGAGCGCCGCTGTGGCAGACCCCACACAGGGACCATGGCTCGGTAATTGAAGTATACCGTATGGTAATTAAACAGAGAGGGGCTCTCATTAGCCTGCTTCAACCAGAGTGTCAGTCACAGGCTCAAAAGGCCTGGACAGGTTGAGTGGAAAAAACATTTTTATATTTGTATATATGCAAAAGAAAGTGGTTAGAAGTGGTTTTCAGCTTGGAAACGCAGAGCGGGCAATATTTAGCAAATTTTTCAGTCTCTTCTGGGGAATTATCAATTCAGCCTTTGTCCTAGATAAGAGTGTTACTCCCCTCTGAGGGCAATTTGAGACATGGGGAGTTACAGCAGAACTGTGGTTTGGGGCTACAGCACAAGTGTGTGCACAAGTATGTGGCTGTGTGGATGAATCGCTGTGTGTTAGTGGCACATTTTCTGGTTGTTATTGCTGCACGCGCTCTGCAGAGTACTCACCCTGTTGATCAGCTCTCCAACCATGCCGGTCCAAGAGCCGTTGGGCTCCGGGGCCCCATACAGCCCATCATCCACCAGCTTGATCTTGAAGGAGAATTTTAAGATGCCTGCCAGCTCCCTCAGCATGTCAACACAGAAACCCTCGTACTGCTCGTTTCCCTCGAAATCCTGGTAATTGTCCTTGCGCATCACATACGGGTTCTCCTGTGCAGAGGGAAAACATGACGAATCTCAGTCTAAAACAGGCAGCGTGTTTAGCTGTAGAAGATGCTACCTTATCACTATTGATTTATTGTAGGGATTTTCAAACAGCTAATTAAGGTTTAAATAACAAGGCTGTTCAAAGTTTTTCTCATTAACTTGTTTAGCATATGGAGGAGCGTAGTTTTTGTGCTCTGCTTTTTTGCTTCAAATTAACTGGAGAGATGCAATTGGTGTCAAAGGTTTGAGCCAATTCTTTGCAACAAAATTAATGAGCTAATAAAAATGTATTTAGTCCCCGATATTTTTTTAGCGTTTTTTTCCTTTTTTGTCAAACTTAAATTTTAGAAGATTACACAGTTTTTAATATCAAAGACAACTTAACACAAAAATCAAACTTCAAATGATCTTTTAATAAGAGTAAAATCTAGCAAAGTCAACCCCCAAAATACTAACATGTCATGATGTGTTGTTTTAAAGTGGAGCCAAATGCAGAGGCAGATGGAGCTTGTAGATGAAAAATGTTTAAAGAAAAAAAAAAGAAAAAAACTTACAAAAACACACAGGGAGCCAGAGCCAAACAAAAACAGAAATCCAGAACGAAAAGCCAACATTATGAAACAGGGAAGTAATCAGAGTTAACAGGAGGAATCGGCAAAGACTGGGAGGAGCAGAAGTGCTTAAGTACTGGGAGAGTGAATGTGGAACAATGGGGCTGATGGGCAAACTGGTTGAAGACGTGAGAAGAGAGAGAAAGTGGTTCATGAGGCGAGAGAGAGAGAGAGAGAGAGAGAGAGAGAGAGAGAAACTGCAAAGGGGACTGGGAAATAATCTAAAGAATGAGTAGACATAACATAATAATAAAACTGGAGTAACTTGGAACAACTTGACACAAGAGATAAACTAGAATCACTAAGAAAGAAGTTTGAACTTAAAAACAGAAACTAAACTGATCTAATGAAAATAAGAAACTAAAGATTAGAGAAATAAACCAAAAACAACTCAAGGTACCAACATAATAACTAGTTAGTGGCAATCACTGCCATCAACCTTTTATAATAACTGAGAATGAGTCTTTACATCACATTTTGGTTGTTTTAAATTCAGCTGCACTATAAGGTTTTCAAGTTGAACCAGCAGTTTAAGGATGTGCTATAATATCCAGACTTTGTTTTGGCTCATTAAAACCTTTTTGTTTTGTTTGTTTTTTACATTAGGAGAGCAGAAATGAGAACACTGTCCAGTTCCAGACTAACACACCGTCACCCTCATGGCCGATGCTTTTTGTCTGAATTGCTGTGTTTATACCAAATGCAGTGTGATGCACATCTTTCCAAAAGTTCCACTTTTGTTTTAGTCCATAGAATATTAATCAATATGTTTTCTGGTAAATGTGAAGCTGACCTTTTTCCAAACTCTTTTCATAGATGCCATTTTTGCAGAGTCTCTTCTTAATGCTGAATCATAACCACAGACTGAGTAATTTTGTTCCATGTTTTTTTTTTTTCTTTCTATTTGTGGGTAATGGTCTCTATGGTTCACAAAGCCTAAGAAAATGCACTGTAACTCTCTCCAGCATGACAGATCTCAATGGTTTTGTTTCTCATCTATTCTTGAATTTCTTTCTATAAAGGCATAAAGTTTTGCTTTTTGAAATCTTTTAGTTACTTCATACTTCATGTTGTGAGACAGGTAAATGATTTCTAATTTACCAAGGAGCCGGTTTACTTAGGACCAGAGTGGTTTGGATAACCTTTTCTCTACATAAGTGAAATCATCACCTACTCATCATCTAGGGCTAACCTTGTCTTAAATTAAAAAATCTGGTTGATGATCTCAAACGTTTAAGTGTGACAAAAAGGTAAAAACTGAATAAACACAAAAAGGGGGAAATCCTTTCACAAGACTGAACATTTTCAAGTCTCTACTGTAAATCTATTAACAGTTACCAGTCATTTTTAAAGATCTGGCAGAAGAAGAAAAAGTATCTCTAAATGTGTCAAGGGATTTTTATAAAAACGTTTTTTCCAAAGTTTGACCTCTGATGGGTAAAGGTCAGCACGCCTCAGCCGAGTCGGTACACTGTAGAACATTTTTATCTGCCCTGTGAGTCTCTTACAGCTACAGAACGCTAATAGAAAATTGCTTCAATAGACATAATTCGCTAGTGGGAGATGGCTGCAGATGCAGGTTTGTGTGGGACTTTGACAGATTAAAAAACTACAGTCTGCCCGGTGAGTAAAACCGATGCAGATAAACCAGGGTAGCAGCAAGGCTATCATAGAAAGTACCTGATTTATCTCAAAAGTGGTGCAGCAGAGAAATAAATGCATTAAGTTTCACAAGAAAAATGACGTTTCAGAAACTCTGGCAATAGAAACTGAATCAGAAATGTGTTGATTGATAAAAAAAAAAAAGTCTACCACTAAACAAATCACTTAGTCACATAGCCAGCATTTAGCTTAAATTTACTGCAACAGACAAGTGTAAAATATCACAAATTGTAGCATTGTACTGTAGGAGAATGACTAATAATTCTCAAATTTTAACAATAAACATTTTAGATTTTTTTTTCCTATCCACTTTATGCTAGTAACCTTAAGATAGATAGACAAAATGAAATAAATAGGATGATCTGACATCTAAACAGTGTGTGGGATGGACTCAGTGGCTACAGTGCAGAAGGGTGTAATTTGTGTAAATTTACAAAATTCAGTGTAAATTCAAGGATTTAATTGTAGGTAAAATGCCTGAATTAATAGAAAGCGCTGTTTTTCTTCAGTTCTGAATGCCGGTGGCTTCTGGACAGAAACGGTTCTTGAATCGGCTGGTAGGTGTGCAGGTGCTTCTGCCTAATGGCTGGATGATCTTCAGTGAATTCTTGCTCCAGTGCAGTTTGTAGCGCTCCTGTGTGGCTCATGCTGCTGTTTTGGTAACTCTGTAATCATCTACAAACCTCGGCAGAGCTTTTCAGAACAGAGCATTACAGCTGCTGTAACAGGCTGTGAAACAGCATGTCAAAAATATTCTCAGTGGTGCATTGAGAGAAGCTGGTTAGTGAGTCCAACCTAAACTACTCGGTTGTGGCAGAAACAAGCCCTCTGCCTTGCTGATTTCTGATTAGGTCATCTTTGATCCTCACTCATATTGATCTAAAAATCCTCAGGCAAGCTCTTCTCCAACAGCCCCCTTTAGCTTTCCAGAGATTTTTGAACTTCAGTAAGCTGTTGTCCTGAAACTAAGATCATCGGCTTCTTATTTCTTCAGCGTTAAATTATTCTTCAGTATCTGATGTGCAAAAAAATGATAATGGTTCCATTTGCAAATATGTATAATATTGGAGTTAAGGTTAAATTTGGCTGGTCATTCATGGGTGAAAAAGATTGGACCTAACACACCTCTCTGAAGGATACCTTCTCCTAGTGAGAAAAAGTATCTTGCCAGAAAACGAACAAGCATAAATCCCCTTAATCTAAGATATTTAATATTACTTAGATTTCAGTTTTTGCAGTGTTCAAACATATTTCCTTGATTTATTGGCGAGGGAGGGAAGAGCACAGTGCAGAAGCTATTGCTTCATCTCTGGAAACGGTTTGGCCTACATGCAAAACGCAGCAGGTCAGCTGCAGCAGCCGGGGAGGATGTGAGGGCTTCGACTACGTGCTCCAAGCACTTCATGGTAACGTGGGTAAGTGCAACACGGCAGCTACTCCAGGTGTTTTGGGGACAGGGATGACACCGGTCTCATCACAGGGCACTTTCCGTCCATATTCCTGACAGTTGAGTTGCTTTACCTTAACCAAGATCCATTTTCTCTCTGTATTGCTTCTTTGATTTTATTCCTATTTTTTTAAACAAAGACCCAAAAGAGCAACGTCACACAACACATTTATTTTGATTTTAGTTTAATCCCTTAAAACAGTGAATACAAGGTATTTATTGTGAGAAGGAAGATGATGGATCAGCAAAGACATTACTGTTTTTAAGATGTCATTAAACATCTAAACAGCCAAAGGACAGCAGGACATTAATAAAAGACCAGCACTCTGACAGCCTCATTTAAGTAACACGTCCTTCTCAGCGCTCTGTCAGTTTCTATGACAGCTACAGCTATGGCTAAATTGCCAGAAAGAGACCAAAACGCAGCGTGAGCTCCAGCACAGCAGGCAAGCACAAAAACAACTCTACTTGCCAGTGTGGACACTTGTGAGGTAGCTAGCTGTGACCTTACCAGGATGGTGGTGACAATCAAGGTCTTGTTCGCCAGCGTCTCTGAGACATTAATATCCAAACTGGTGGAGTTCATTGCCAAAGTGTTGTTGGAGTACCAGATCCCAATCTAACACAGAACACAAAACAAGAGAAAATCAATAACCATTGTGGAATAAATGATGCACTCTTAAGCTCTAATTGAATCAGTTTTTATAGAAATTTAAACTGCAGCACACTACAAGCTCAAGTACATCAGTCAGCACAGCCATCCCAGCGGTCTACTTTAAAACGCAAACTACATTTGCCACTGTATATTCTGTATTTTCTCTTTTCAACCTGTTATGTGCCGTGTATCTATATTGATATAATAGTTCCCACAGGAGCCAAAAGAAATGCAGTAATATGAGCCATTATAAACCAATTGCTATTTACAAGCAAAGCAATGAGCTGGTGACAGGCTGGCATTGATGGGAATGAAAAGCATCCATGATTAGCTGTTTTATAGCCACGTCTCTTTTTTTTATTCACACCTTTGTTGAATTGCATAACAGCGCATTTATTTCTATTTTATGGAGACAGTAAAGTCACTTAGGTGCATAAGTGTGTGATTATGACCTAACCAACGTGCCGAGTGGATCAGCGGCTCACGGAGGCATTTCCTAGAAATATACCGCACACGTGTCAGTGGATCAGAGGAGTGGTAATGGCTCCGCTGCACCGTTTCTATTACAGTTTTTATCCTGCTCTGACGCTTGAAAGCATTTTTTTTTTTTTTTTTTTTTTATTCTGAACCGCTGCTGGCGTCTAAAGTGGATGTCACCATACACACAGGTGGGCAAAGTTAAAATGTTAATTACTACAGCCACGCTCTCGGCTGAGTTGGAGTTTAGCTTTAAGTGAGAAAATGGCTTTTTGTGTAAGTGTTGGAGACACCTGGCTGATAGCAGAGATCTGGGAGACAAACTGAGGAGAAGGACGGAGGAAGCGTTCCCTCCAGACAAGCAGCTTTCCCTGCAATCACTTAAACTTAGCTTTTTAATGCTTAATCTCTCTTCACTTATTCCTAATACTTTTCTAAGGAGGCCATCAGAAAATTATAATGACTTTTGACGAGACTCCCAGGATGTTATTTGGTTATGGGATTAGCCAGCCAGCACAATTTATACAAATAAATAAAAACGGGAATGAAACTGCTTGACTTGGATTGCTTTTTCTTGCAGATAATGAAAGAAATTTTTAGGACTTTACCAGTTTTTTTGTGTTGTATTTTACAATGTTGTGCTCTGACTGATGTAGTGCCTTGAAGTTTTTCATCTTTTGTAGCTTTAGAATTATAGAACAGTTATAAATGCATTAAAGGTAGTGCAGTTATATTATAGAAGAAAAACTTTAAAGTGTGATTTGAATTTGTCTTCAACACCTTTTTCTCCAATACTCCAAATAAAATGTTGTGCAACCAATTGCCTTCATATTGTATATTCTAATTAGCAACTACAAAAACAAACATGAATGTTTAATAGTTCGAACATGTGCAGCTCTGCCTTTGGTTTATAGCCAGTAATAACATACAAAACATACACAAAAGCTGTATTTCTTATTTTAGAAATAAGAAAAATGGCTACAGCAAAACAGGTAAAAATATATGTATCATTTATTAAAACATTAAATGATTTATCATAGCAACAAGAATGTCGTAAGGTTATCATACTCACACTCATGTAGAGCATAAAAACAATGAATACAACAGATTAAAAATACAGTAAGCAGCAGCAGGGTGAGAACTGCAGGTCAGCAGCAACAGAACAGCCGTGCCCCAGTGTGCGTAAATAGAGTTGACCTGTATGTAATTTAATCTCAGTATGTATACAGCTCCTCAGAGATTTACTAGAAAACATTAGTAAACAACCACCATCATGTAGACCAGGGAACCCGGCCTATAGGTCAGGGATAAAGTTGTGGAGAAGTTTAAAGCAACATTAGGTTCCAAAACCCTTTCCCAAGTTTTGAATATTTCACAGAGTGCAGTTCAACCTGTAAGCTCAATGGTTAAGTCTGCTGTGGACTGCAAACCTAACAAAACATGGTTATCCACCTAAACAGACCCAGAAGTAGAGCATTTCTACCAGATTCACCCGTGGTCGTTATTAGAAGAGCAACAGAATGAGCGATATCTGAAAGAAAAGTCCTGATAGCTACGACTGCTGTGTGGCTCAAGTAGAAGAAGGTACTTTAGTCATACGAGACCAGAATTTAACCAGGTTTACATGCGAAACATTGTATGTTGAGGAAGATTCCTCTGAACACTGAGACATGAGCCAGTAGAGCTAAATGAAGATGCATGTCAAAGCTGTACGGTCATTTCCTGCTTTGGTTTGGTCTGCCACATAAAACAGCAGTAAACTCATTAAAACTTTTGGCTGTAATGTAACAAAATGGAAACATTTTCAACACTAATAATTAAATCTTTATTCAGCCTCCATTTGCTTAGTGAAATTCATAATGCGGTTTGTTTAGGACTACACAAAATAAGAAAAATAACTTAATTAAAAATAAATCCCTGTCAAAAGCAGAGTAGTTTTAATCCTGTTGATGCAGCCCATCAATAGTTGTTTATGCACGATTATTTTTTTAAATAAAACTATTTTTGACTCAAAGTCTCGTCTGTTTAATACCAAATCCTCTCTGTGAATGTTACATACTGAGATATAAGAATTTTACATTCAGGACCATCTTAATGATTTTTTTGTTGTTGTTGCTCCAGAAAACAAACCGAGCTCATAGTTCATGTGAAGACAAAGGAGTCCAAAATCAATACAGATCAAGCCTGCTGCAAGCCTCCAGCAAATTCAGTTAAGGTTTCACAAAGACGGCTATTAATTAGATAAAGTGTGAGCGAAGATGTCAAATTATAAGAAGAAATGTTTTGTTTTTCAGAATAATAAGAAACTAATGTATGATTTTTTTATGTATTCATAGTTCAGGACAAGTAACATAAGTAAAAATGCAACATGAGTCAAAGGTGAAACAGAAAGCCAACGGGAGAAATAAATAAATCCAAAGACATATGACCTGGACTGGATTTGCAATAAAAAAAATCTTTCTGAAAGAGAAGCAACAACGTGGAAAGCATCTAAAGGCCAAGCTTTCTATTGTACTAAATATGTGTCTACTGCAGAGTGAAAGGCCTTCTGGTTAAACACACATCTGTTTAATAAAGCAGAGATCTCTGCAGCGTCAGGGGGAATCTGTGATGGCGCTAACCTTCCTGTAAAATGCCTCCGCCGGCTCTCTGAAACCATCCAGGTGACCTGTAACTAACCCAAAGCCCAAGGCTGCTGTGACCTGGCTGCCTCATCATAACAGGTGGCTCCTGACCTCTTTGTGGCCTCCTCTGTGTTTCTCCAGGATCCGCAGGGTGTAGTTGGTTCTCTGACCTTTGCTGTTGAACTCCACTCGCCCCGTCAGGCCATCGTACTCCACCTGGTAGGCAGATGGGGAAGGATATGAGGAAGTACGACGGTGGCAGAGAAGCAAAACAAAAAAAAAAGGAAATTAGGGGGAAAAATGCACAAAAACAGGCAGAGACACAAACAAAATCAGCGCTCTGCATGAAAACAAACGTGCCTCTCACAATCGATCATCATTAGACAGATAAAAACAACACTCTGGAGGAATAGAGAGCCAAAAAACAGAGAACAAGACACACGGGGAGAGAAAGAGAGAGAAAGTGGCTAAATCTGGCCTCGACAGGGATGATCAGTTGTGGATCAACTAGGAGAAAGTGACTGATCGAGAGGCTCAGAGAGGGCAGAAGAGAGAGTCAACAGCCTCTTTAATAAGACCCAGACCTGCACGTCACACCTCGGCTCGGCTCGGCCACTCCACGGCCCAGGTGCTGGCACAGTTTGAAGGAACTATGATGAATAGCAGCGTGCTGGAGATGGAGCGCACCATGATGTTGACTAACAAAGACAGATGTCGGGCAGATGGGCCTCAGGCAATGAGAGATGGGACACAGGCTGCCTTGACAACAGGTCGTTGATGAGGGAAGCAGACGACCAGAGAAGGGAGATGCCAAAAAACATCAACAGACAGAGGTTACGGGCAACATGAGATGCAGATGATACACAGGGTAAACATACGTGCTTTCGTTTATCAATATGCTTAAAGAAAAAGAAAAGATTTAAAGAGCTCGTGACTTTAAAGTATCAGGATTTCTTCCTTTTGCCTTCATTACTCCAACTAGTGTGAAGAGAATCTGTGGTTCATTATGAAGGATTTAAACTACTGTAAATCTTGTTAATAAGTGGTAGATATGTGGATTCCTTTTCTTACTTTTTGTTCTCAAATATGAAATATCTGAATCTCAATCTGATTGAAAAGTAGTCATACCCGTTCGTTAGTTTCAAATGTCTTCAGGTGACAATCACAATCATTAATGCAGTTCATTGGAGAGCAATAAACAAAGCAACATGTTAGTTTCTTCTTTTTTTCCTTTTGTAAAAAAGGAAAATAAGAGGTTGTGCATCTTTTTGCATTTTGCCCCCTTTAACTTGATACTCCTAAATTAAATTACATGCAATAATATTCTTAAGAATCAATTACTGTTAGTCTCTTCCTCCCCAAAACAACAAAATACTAAAGTATACTGCTCCATAAGTTACAAAAAACATAAATATAGACACTTATGTTGTCCTTATTAGTAGAAACTGTTAATTCTAGGATATATTTTTATTTTCTTCTAAGAGAATTATTTCCCTACCTGACTTATCACGTTTCAGCCACACAGTAGAGTAATTACTGGAGCAGTAAACTGAAGATGCCACCTCAGGCTTTGGGAAATTGTAATTGGGTCTTTTGTAATACTTTATTGATCACTTGAAAATGAGCGCCACCTTAATCAATGAAGAAAATAATTGTTAACGGACAAATTACCGTGTGAAAGGAGCCACAGTCAACAGAGTGGCTACATAACATTTTAATAGAAGTATCCATCTCCTAAAAAATTAATAGTAGTAAGTGATTTTATTTCTCAATAAAGCTGACGCCTGAAGACAGATGAGTTAATAAGGCTTTTTTACATGTTAGTTTGTAAATGCAATATTCTAATCAAGTCTTATAAATCCAGAGAGGCAAAAATCAGATTTAACATTTTGTGACCCTTCAAATCTTATCCCAACCTTCAGCCTCAAAAACATCATTTCTCAACCTGACATGCTGAAAAATACAAGAGTTGATGCCGAGAAAAGCAGAAAAAGAATGTAAGAAAATACTATTCAAAGGTAACCGCGTTCTCCGTTTGCAGTGAAATTACTAAATAGGAGCTACAAAAGAAAGCATTATCTAGAAAAGCAGAAAAAGTTTCCGACAGAGCTGCTTGAAGGATTGCCAGGTGGGCAAATCAAAACCTTGTCCATGTAAAAGACTTTCACCAGGACTTAGCTGACATTGAAGTGGCAGTGTGCTGTTCTATTGTGAAGCCACGACTTCACAGAAAAGGCAGAGAAAAAAAACCTAAAGTCAACGTTTCTAGGAATTTCATAACAAATTCAGCTCCATGAGTTTTAAAGGTGCTTGAAATATTTTGGTAACCTTCAGCTGTTAAGGTACACCGGTGGATCCATCATAAACTGTATTAGCGTTTAGGCCACCAGTATAAGTAACAATGAAATACTGGCAAAGTCTGAATTCAAGAGCTACCTCCACGGTTTCTAAGTATTTTTAATGCAGTGTTAGATTTGTTTTAAAGTGTGAAAATGAAAGTTCATGACAAATTTATGGTGCAGAGATGGATGGATGAACAGATGGATGGATGGATGGATGGATGGATGGATGGATGGATGGATGGATGGATGGATGGATGGATGGATGGACGGACGGACGGATGGACGGACGGACGGATACCTATTTTAAAAATATACATTTTAAAACCTAAATACTGCAATTTCCAGACTATTTAATGGACCTAAATGTAAGTCGAATCACTAATCTTGAAAATAAATTGTGTTGATATATTGTCATTTAGCATCCATGCTGCTACATGACATATTTACATAGAGAGATTTTTTTAACTCTTAAATACATAATGGTAACATACATAAATATGTACCGTAAGTGATTTTCCGAACGGTGAATGTAACACAGGTGCTTTAAAAAAAGATACAGTAGACTACCACGAAAAGTCATTGATCACCACCGTTTGCACACTAAAACTGCTGAAGTCTTCTTCAGTTTCCGTATTCTCTCTCTTTCGCTGTAATTCGATGTCACTTTGTCTCAAGGCAAATTCGCTCTAGAGTTTGTGCTTTCCTCTTCGTCACGCAGCAATCCAGTCTTTCGAAACCCGTTGGTAAAGAGCCAAATATTAGCCTTATCGTAGTGTTCAAAACTACAATGAAAAAAACTTGCGGTTTATAGTCTGGAAGTTACGGTAGGCAGCACATGCAAAAAAAATTTAAAATCCTAAACAAAGAATGCAGAAAAATTAGCAAACATTTCTTCTGGCAGTGATGGATTTCAAATGGAGAGTTAAAAAATGCTAACCAGGTGGCTAACATTTCTCTGATGACCTCATAACATTACATGAGTCCATTTTCTGTTCATTTTGAAATTGGACGAGGACAAAAACAAAAAAAACGATTCATGCAAAAAGTGTCAAACTGATGCCTAATTAGACATTTCACCATCACAACAGACATGCTTGCCAAGTTACGTATGCCTATTGGTGTGCAGAAGATCATATAAATGACTTGAGATGCATTGTAGGCAATATTCACATGTGCTGTAAACATGGAAGACATGTGGGGCATTTACCATGCGAAGATAATTCATGAGGCTGGTCCCGTGTTGCCAGATCTGAGGCGAGGTGCAGCTCAGGGGCTTTACTCCAATTTCCTGACTGCGGTTCAATTCCCTGACGGCCCCCACAACCACATGAACGGCATCAAACATCAGCGCTGAAGAGAGCTGAGGAAAGAGAACGGGAGACAAAGGGAGGGAGGCAGAAAGGGCAGGATGGATGGAAACATGGGGAGGATGGGGAATGAGACAAGGCAGAAGATGTAATGAGGAAGGAGGCGCTAGCATTAATGATTGAAAGGATAACAGGAATAAAGGAGGGGAAGAGAAAAACAGATGTCGGGAATGAGTAAATAAGAGGGAAAGAGAGATGGATACAGTACATCAATAGCTATTAAATAGGAGCAAAGGAGCAGCTAAATCTCTTTAAATGGTCCATGAATCATCAGCAGGAACTGAGCGGCTTAATATTACGTGGCAAACAGACAAAGCTTTATAAATAGTACAAAGCGTTTGTTTGCACAAGTCCGTGTTTGTTTGAGACACTAACCGCAGGGCCGGGATACGTCAAATCGCAGCCCTCCCTCCATGAAAGGTTCAGGCTCCTGATGAACTCCAAATAGAACGGATGTGTGGTGTTGAACATGGAGAAACCCACGATGTTGGACTGCTCATCCACAATGTCATCCAGTCTCAGGAGGGGAAAATCCTGAAGGAGCAGAGGAGAAATAAAAGGGCAGAGAGAAAACATTCAGGTGAGAGGAAAGGTTGGCAGCACAGTGCCGTGCAAAAAATATTCAAACACTGCATCACTGCTACAAGCTTTGATGCATGTTATTTGTATTTCATGAGACAGATCAACACAAAATAGTTCATAATAATAAATTATTATCATACTTTTTAAGATAAATAAAAATCTGAAATGTGACTTGCATTGGTATTTAGCCCTCCTGATTCTGTGACAACTCCTGGACAGATCTTGTAAACATGAATATTCAGGTCTTGTCACATCTTCTCAAACTGATTTCGGTTTGGGCTTTGACTGGACCATTGTACCATACGAGTATGCTTTGATCTAAGCCATGCCACTGCAGGTCTAACTTTATGTTTTGGACTTGTCTTGTGGAACAGTAAACACCTGCTAGGTATAAAACATTTTAAGTTTTATACATTACCAAACTTTGTTTCAAAGTACTCTAAAACTTGGCAGTACTATATTTTATTTAAGGGTATCGGAGGTAAGAAGGCTGAATGCATTTATATATATATATGCAACACTTTTTACATTTTTATTTGTAAATGACTTTGTATTGTTTTCATTCTACTTTTCAATTCTGGGTTACTTTATGTTGGTCCATCACACAAAATGTCAAGAAAATGTATGGAAGTCTGCGGCTGTAAAGTGGAGAAATGTGAAAAATGTCAAGGAATGGAAATATTGCAGGCACGGTATATGAAACCTTTACATGTAAGAAAATAACAGTGCAGACAGAAGTGCAATAAAGAGAAATGCAAGCTTCCTGGAGTGACAACTGATATTTGACGGAGAGTAGGAAAAGATATAGTTAGCCATAGAAGAACAGGGGAAAGGTGATGGAGAAGGATAAGAAGGGTTGATGGAAAATGCTTGAGTGGCTTTTCAAAGTGATATGCATGCGAGTGCATCCAAGGCACAAGAACACATCAAGTACAAGGTGCAGAAAGGAGGAAAAAATAAAAATCAGACATAAAATGACACAATAATTCAAATGCTAAAAGGGATGGAAGTATATCAAGGAGGCAGATGAAAAGCCTAGAAGCGTGAAGAAGGTGGCGGGTGGTGAAGGAAAAAAGAAGAAAAAAACCAAACACATCTCATCTGTCATCACCTTCACCTCAGACCCCTTTTATTTTCTTTCTTCGCCCTCCTTCTCTGCACCTCCGCATCTTTGAACAGCATGTTTGCTTCTCAGATCTCTTCCTCTCTTTTTCTATCTTTCATCTATCTTCCTCTTCCCCCCCCCACTCCACTGTCACCTCACTCTACCTCCCCTTATTGAACGCTTTCTCCGCCTTAGCACCTTTGCTCGCTCGCGCTCAGACAGAAGAGGAGGAGGAGCGGGACGGATGAAGGGAGGAACACGTGAAAATGACGGAGCACAAGACGGCGGATCGGAGGTGGAGGAATCGGCATGTTCTTACCATGGTGGTGAGGATGTACTTATAAAATGCTGATGTCATTCCCAGCTCTGACGCCTGTAGGAGAAAGAGAGAGAACAAGATGAAAAAATAAAGAGGCAGCAGGTGAGATATGAATGTGGAGAGAGAGAGAATAAGAAATGACAGAGGAAGACGGATGGCGAGCGAAAGGAGGAAAAAGAGGACAGTTAATGGGGAAGGCAGAGAACAAGGACAAAGTAGGAGAGAATGTGACAAAGGGAGACGAGGAAGCATACGTTAATCACAGTTTTACATCATCGGCCTAACACTAGTACATTTTTGCTGAGGGCGGACAGGCACTCCAGGAGAAAGCATCCCATTCAAACCGTGACTCACTGCGCTGGCCATCGGCATCAGAATGAATCAGAGCAAAGCCGGGTTAACATCTGCACCGCATCCCAGCAAAAAGAGAGTCTTTGTATAAGAAAATTTAAAAAAAGAATATAGTTGTTTTTTTTTTTTTTGTCCAAAACTTTCAGAAGAGTGTAGCAAATTGACATGCAATGCCACAGGGCAGAAAAAAAAATCTAAACTTGATGTTAATCCTATTCAAGCACACGTGTGACTGAAGACCTTTGAAGTATTTCTTTCACAAATTGAGAGCAGTGCACCGTTTATCAGCGTAAATTGAAACATTTTTAACTACGTTACAGAAATAAACACCAAATGAGTGGAGCCACTCGCCGCAAAGGTAACTTTAAATCCCAATGTGTGGGTGGTTCTGAGGAGTGTACTGATGTTTTGGTAGACCTGACCTTCTTGAGGATGAGATAAGAGACCGAAGCGTTGGCGTCAATGATGATGGTGGCCACTTTGTCGTCACGGATCTCCTTTAGGAGGGGCGTGGGGTCCAGGTTGTCGTCCAGCATCCTGACGGACAGCGTCTCCCGCGAGATGAGAAAGCGACGGACGAGTTCCTCCAACCTCAGCAGGCCTGAGAGAAGCGCAGAGCAAAGACGAGTCACGAGTTTAAGGTGCATTGTGTCCTTCTACGATACTTGAAAAATACTTTTAGCTGAATGTAGGAAAGCAAATCATAACTTTATATAGTCTGTGCAGGACATATTTATTACAAACAATCCTCACTGGGACTTATTTTCTCGTTGCCTTTATGCTTAGTAAGCTGTTGCTCTTGTTTAGAGCCACTAATAGAAGGAGGTCTTACAACCTACTTTACATAAAGCCCATTGCAGAAATAAGGCCACAAGTGATTAGATTTTGTCTTAATGCCATTATTTTCCAGTGGTAATGCCTCACATAAAAAATAAAAAAGTTAATTTTTCCAACTAAATCTGTGACACCAGATGACTCTCACAGCTTAAGCAACATATATTTACACCTAAACATATTCACTGCTTTTTGTGTCTTCTATCACACTTCCTGACGACATATGGGCTAAAATTACATATACAGAGCATACTGTGAGGTTATAATGAGTCTTTTTTTTCCCTGTTATAGCAAAACACTCCTGCTTTAAGTAGTTGTATATAAAATAATATAATTTGATGCTTTTTTAAGAAATAAAATGTAAGAAATCAGAACTAATTCATTATTCACAGGATAGTAGAGCTTCTTTTTTATTTTTATATTATCTGGTTAAAAGTTCACTTCATGCTTTGGTGTATTTTACATTTATATGTCCATGCAACACATAAAGACTAGTTTGACTGCAGCTACAAAAGAAGCATCAGAAAAGTCTCCTTTAAAAGAGCCTGAAGTGTGAATGAAAAACAGGAGGCAGTGGTTTCAGCTGTAGTTTATGTATTAAGAGATTGTACAAAATAAAAGCAAGACAATAACGGCAGCAAAAACAAAAGTAGTTTAGTCAAAGCAAACTCATTTCAAAGTCCATTATCCTCTAGCTCAGCATCCGTACATCTAGATAAAAATTCTGGTCCAACAAAAAAAAAAGACCTAAATAATCAGAACTACACATTAAGAATTTAATCCTAAACAAAATAATGATTTTCTTTGTATAGATGCTATAAAGACTTTTGTTTATTTTATATAATACAACATAAGAGTAAATTTGTATACTGGTTTATGCAAATTAAATGCAAGTGTTACATTTCCAATATTTTTAAACTTGATTCAACATTTAAATCATGTTAATCAGTCATAATTTAAGTAGTCAAACAAAAATGTCATTCAGAATTCAAGTCAGTCAATTTGCAGTGCAATTTCAAATACCTCATCAGTTATCAAAAATAAAATAATTCACAATCAATTCCTCCAAAATATTCAAGCAGAAGGAGAGAAAATATAAAGATACTCCACAATATAAGTGTAACTACATTCTTACCAAACTTCATTGCCGGTTTAGCGTCAATACAAAAAGAGTCAAAACACGCACAAAATAAAACCGATGCACCAAACAACAATTGAGTGCATATATACGGCATTTGTCCATAATTCGGCTTCCATTAGATTTCCAAAAATAACTGTTTTACCTTTTCAACGGAGTGAGGAGTACTTGGCCTCAAAGCGCGGCCATGTGGACATTAATGGCAGAATCCCAATGGAGTTCTGAATTAGCAGCGCCAGCAATTCTGGTAAAAACAACGCATCATTGAGCAATTAACCGGTAGTTTTAGACATGAAGCAATGATGATAGCAGACTCCCCATGTTGTCAAGTTTGTAGATTTGAATAAATGCATCAATTTGAACAGCACAGGCTGCAACCAGAAAGGAGTCAAAAGAGGAAGTAAAGCTGTGAGCTTTAAAAAAGTTGGAGAGTTTGGGGCAACACAGGAAGTGGGCCCGCAAAAATAAAAGTCATCCAACTAAACGTGGGTGACATCCGCATTTCTCCATATTTGGCATTGTTGCTTGTTCAAAGGTTTTATAGTTGCTAATATAAACTTAAAAGCACTATTTTAGTCAAAACAGTACCAGCTGCTTTGGCAAACTATTATGCTTTAAGTCAAGCTTTAAATGATATCGATGTCTCCAATCATGTTGCATAGTTGCAACTTTCTCAGAGACATTTATCTAATTATTTGAGTGTCTTTGGGTCTCCATGCAACCTAATCCTGGTAGGATTACAGAAAATGCAGAACACAACATCAGACAATTACCCTGCCAATCATGACTGCAAATAACCACCTGACTACAACAGTAAACATAGCTGCGACCTTTTAAGTGAATACAATGATTATGCAAAATAAAGTTGGACAGATACATGAGCGCTGAATGACAAACTTCTTCAGACAATTTTCCCACTTCAAGCAAATTCCTCTTCAAACTAAGTAGAACCAATAGCAGTCAAGTCTCACTTGACATCATGTAAGCCATTACTAGAAAGTCTGCTTTGGTGCTTCCTGATTGTAATTTCATAGTAAAGCACCCCCAGCTATGTAAATAAGTGGTGAGCGAGGTATCTGGGGGACAGGGAAGGGGGAGGAGAGAGAGTTAGAGACGAATGAGAGGAGGAGAGGAAAGGTAGTACTCCGAGCCCCGTAGGTGGAGAAAGCCTCTGTAAGCAGTGGGGTAATCACTGAACCAGGCCAAAACTTTAATTAGTTCTAGGAAGGAGGGGGGAAGAAAAAAAGAAAAAAAAAATCAATGCAGTTTACAGCTTCCTCTCACTCCTCTCTCGCTCTTTCACCAATTTCCAACTCACACACATAAGCCCTAACCTCTCCATCTCTCTCGTCTGAGCCCTTTGCTCCAGTTACCTCTCTCGGCCTTGATTCATCTGCCTCTTATGCTGCCACCGTCTCCTTCATGTGCTCGGTCGCCGTCCTTAACCCTCATCCATCTCATGAAAACTGCATAATGGAATTAGGCTCCGATTGCAGCTTCTGACTCATGCACAGTGAGAGAAGGATACATGGGAAATGACCCAAAATCTGCGATTCTCGCACATTAAGCAGAATATCTCGCTCAGGGAGGAGACATTAGATGAATACCATTAAGATGGAGTAAGAAAAAAAAGAAAAGAAAATGGGGATGCGCTTTCTTAAACTACCTTTTTTGTGTGTGCATGTGTGATGTTCAGTGCAAAAAAAAAGAAAAAAAAGTGTGTCTTTGCATTTTGCTCACCTCAACTGAATCAATGTGAGTATGTCTGCTTCACTTTGAAAAGCCTTCTCTACACCGGAGTAAACAAGATGAATTAAACAAGGGGGGCCGACAGTAAACACTGTCTGATGTCGAACCTGTGCAGCACCACAGTACAGCTGCACACATATATTAAATTCAAGTGCATCAATGTTTAATCCCTTGTGTGCAAACATACAGAACAAGCAAACCTGAACTCAACGTGCACATGTTCAGAGAAGGTAAAGCAGGAACTGGGAAAAAAAAATGTATAAAAACACACATATAGTATGCCACACACACACCCACACGGTTGTTCAGAGTGTGGAACAAGCCTGTTGAGTGGCAGTTAGCACCTATTCGGCAGCCATGGCAACCGGCTCCACCGCGATAGATAGCACAGCCAAGTGGGTCAGAGTCTGTGAGTGCGATAACCTTGTAAAGATCACCTTCGAGGCAAAATGCACGACACAAACGCACTCCACGCTTTCTCAGCGGGTAAATTTTTTTTCTTCTTCTTTCAGAGAGCTGGATCTTTGTTCACCCAGATGGGTAAGTGTCCCAGCTACCGTTTGCCTGCAATTTTTCAGGAAAGGAAGAGACCGCTGAAAAACAGAGCTCTTATCTGGCCACTCAGCTCATGATCAAAACTGAAAAGGACGTCTGATGCTGTTTCAAAGCTCCTTCAATTCAATGAAGTCCAGTTGGTATTCAGCTTACTTTCAGGTCGCTGCGGAGGGGCCGCTAACTGCCGAGGAGATAATGAAAGCTTTGCGACGACTGAATCAATTTTTCTTAATGTCACAGCGTTTTGTTTGCCAAAATCTTTTCAGTCTGCTCTGGGTCGCCTTATTGTTTGTTGTTTTATTTTGAATTCTTCTTCACTGGTGTGATGAGTTGACAGCTACACAACAACTAAAGCCCACCTCATTTTCACTCAGAAGAAGGAAGAAAAAAAAAATTGGCAATTAGTCAGCGGACGAATCGGATTTTTGCCTCGTCCAAGAACGGGTGGTTTTATTGTGTCACGTAGTCACAAAGCTGTTTGTATACTAAAGCCTCCATCCGACTAAGCCCTTTTATTCCTGTGACTCTCAGCGGGGGACTGCAACATAAATCAATAATGCACTCTTTCAAAATGAAAATAAAAACAGGCAGTGACCAAGATCCGAGTCCCCCGTGATGCTAAAGCTCTCCGAGTGCCCGGCCAGTCAAATCAAATGTCCGCTAAGTTCCTCCACTACTGGGAAGCTTTTCAAGCATGAATATTTATCAAACTGGTTTGCCCTTAAAACCCTCCGAGGTTCAGCAAGAGTAATAAATAGAAAGGCTGCATCATGAGCTGCCTTCTGAACTCTGACAACAGGCACAGCTTCATGACCGGGCTGCCAAAATGAGCCGAGGTGTAAAGTGATAAATTTGATTTAATGGCGTCACTGTGATTGAGAACCACGGCTTTCTAAATGTGCATTTTTTTTATACGCCGTTTGAAATATTGCATTTATTTACATTTAAATCCAACCACTGTTATTGAGTGAAAACAAATCTTGCACAGAAGGTCAGGTGGGATTATCAACATTACTTCTGTTTGCTAAAATGAGAGAATATTTTAAGAAACTCATTTATTGCTTTATTCAAATTCTGATCTTTATATATATAATACGCTTACTCTGCAATTTAGGAGAATTCGTCAGATGATGATATCACGGCTTTGCAAGCTTGAGATAGTTTAATTCACAACATGTGAGTTAGCTGGAGGCACAACTGTGAAACACTCTGCTTCCACCATACAGGCATCAGTCCATGACGCAGGTTCAATTCCCGGTTCTGGGACATTTACTGCATGTTCTCCTCTTCTTTCCCTTCCCTACTGATGACTAACTGCCAATAATAACAAAAAACATTTTAAAAAAAAGTCGGGTTTTATGCCTCAGTTCAATAAGAGAGTGTCATTATTCACAGCACAACTACTGACATTCCTTCAAAGTAACATAAAAAGATGGATTACAGTTTGCAAATGCACACAAGAACAAGGATCTTACCTGATGAAACTACAATTGATCATTAATGCAATTGGAGAAAAATGTGGGATGCTTACGCCCAAATAACACCAGCATGTCTATGTGGTACGGAGGTGGCCGAATCATACTGTGTGGGAATTTTGCTACAGGGGGGAACAGAGCACTTCACCAAAGAGATGGCATCATGGGGAAAGGACATTAAGTGCAAATATATGAACAACACCTCAAAACATCAGCTAGGAAGTTAAAGTTAAGGCCCAAATGTGGTTTACAAATAGACAATGACCCTGAGCATACTTTAAAATTAACAACAAGGTAGACGTGGGTCCCAGGCACAAGTCAAATTGAAAAAGGATGTGGGAGCAAGATGACCGACAAACTAGACTCCAGTTACACCAGTTCTAGAATAAATGCTCAAAAGCTTATAGAAAGAAAGCTATACAGTTGAAAAGATACTTTTACCAAATACTAAAGACAGAAACATAAACCACAAGCAATACACAACACATTTTTCTCAAATGATTCTTGTATTTAGGAAACTGAGCTGTTTAGGCATCTGGTCTCAAAGATTCATACAAACTCATTAAACCACCACAGCTATGTGTTTTTAGTAGACCTCAGATGAAGGCAGCTGCACTTTCTTACATTCTTATCTTCCTATTTTTGTGCAAAAGTCCCTGGATTGTTGCCACAAGAAGTAACTGTGGATAACCTAAAGAAAGATCAGCAAGTTGCAAAAGGTTGCATCAATTCATATCCTTTACACACAATCTCATCACAGCAGAATTTAGATGATATTTCATTCACCTTAGTTACTCTCCTTTTGCTTGATTATATTATCATAGTATTCAGTCCAGCTCTGGAAATGAGTGTCCAGCTGCAAACAATCATATCCGGCCAAACGGGGAATCTGTCAACTCTACTGGAGTCACTTTGCTCACACAAAGGTAAACAAGGCAAACACACTTGCAAGGACTCAACCGATGCACTCACACCCATCTAAATATGAGCACAGCTGTGCAGCCAAAGTCACATAATACAATTTAGTAGAACAAGAGATGGTGTGTAACTCACATTCAGCCTTGGCGCAGACCAAGCTGGCAGACAGGTAGCTGAACGAGCGCAAGATGGAGCCTATGGCCAGGCTCAGATCCTCGTTGCTGGGGTACAGAGTAACCGAGGCAAAGCGCAGGTAAGGCAGGCGGGGAGTTTCCTCTGGACCAATTTTTATATGAGGGATCTGGAGGAAGAATAATATTGACAGGGAATGATAACGCATAAGAAAGGCCAGGGGGGAAAAAGTGATTTATGATTTATCCTGCAGAAACATGCAGGGTAAGGAAAAATATACAGAAAGAAGAAAAAGGTTTGAGGAAAAGGAAGAAACTGAACAGGGAAACTGAACATGAAGATGCAGTTACGCCAATACCTACAACTAGGACTGAAAAAAAAAAAAAAAAGACTTATGTTGGTACATATTTGTGCAGGTGACACACCTCTTTCTCCCCACATATGTGACTGACAGTAGAGCCGGAGGCGGGGCTGGAGGCTGGACCGATCACAGAGACGACGCCTTTGGGTAGAATCTGGCACACTGAACAGGGGAAAAAGGGAATAAATTTGGATTTACAAGAACACATCTTGGCTCTGTGTTTTTTAGGACGGCTGCACTGAGCTACCATCCAGCAGCAGCTGAAAAGTGAGAGCATGTCAGTTTCAGATTAATCATTTATTCTACTGAAGCAGCAAAAGATGTTTCAGTCTAATCGGGTTAACTTTATTTGAAATATTCCAAGGGCAAGAAGAGGATAACCAATCAGTTGTAGGACATTAATGTGAAGACAGTCATTTTTATTGCTTTAATCATTTTTTAATCTTACTCTTGTTGCTGATTTACATTGTAAAGTGGGCATTACTGTGAGATTACAGATACTGAAACTGTTGCAGATTAAAATCCATAGCAGACTCACATGTCAAAAGTACAAAGATACACCCACTAACTCCCTCCATGAACAAAATAATGTTAAAAAACATAAAATAAAATAAACAAAGGAGGAAAATTAAATTAAAAATTAAAATTAAACATCATTTCTATTCATCAGATTTACCAAGAGAAACTGTCTGAGTGATGCTGTGTAACAAACTGAGTAAGACTGACAAAGCAACAAGTTTTACTCTTGGTTTAAAAAGATATAAGTTCAGATAAAAGGTGCTTCATAAACTAACCAAGCAATGTGCTGCCCTGAACTTTCATCACCAAGAACCCTCAAGTTCCCCTGGGCTGTTTTCCTTTTCACTTAGGAGTAAAGTTACTGTTTATTCTTTTCTTGCCATTCCTGAGCTGCTGCTTCAGACTGAAAATGTAAAAAAAAAAAAAAAAAAAAACATACTATGACATCCACAGCAACCAGAAGAAGTCATTTAAAACTTCTAAATGAATTCATTCATAGCTGTACAGATAGGTGTGACTGTTAGGGACTGCAAACATAATTAAACTTTTTATTTCTTTCGGTTTCCATGAGCCGAGCAGCTCAATCACACGGACCAGCAGGAGCTCCAGAACACAGTGAAAATATACCAATAACATTAAAGGTATTATGTATTTTCCAGGCACATAGTGTCACTTTATAGCACAAACAAGTAACTGTTACCTTCATTTATTATGAAAATGCTGTATACCCTTGAAGAAATTTGAGTTCACCGTTTGAGGACTTGAAATTGGCCTCTGTTTCTTTAAGAAGCTTCTGCTCTTTCCAACACGCTGCGTCAGTACGCCATCACCACAGTGTTTCTCCATTAAGCCGTTTACAATCATTTCTAGAAGCATTGCACTGAGAAGTACTTTGTATAAAAAGTTCAGCAGGTAAACCGTTCCACCAGGTGTTTACTAATTGCTGCTGCCGCTAGTCTGGAGGAGTCAAGAGTGGCTGATTATGGAGCATGTTTTTTTTTTTATGACTTATCACCTGAACAAGCTTATTCACATATGATTTTTATTACATTTCTCATTTAATGGAAACACAGCAATTGCAAAATGGTGTTTGTTTTTACATTAGCACAAAACTAAAGTTTTGCACACATTTTTAACAGAGACGTGATTCATAGATGAGGGATGTCTATTTTTTATTTTTACTTGTGAATATAAACGCTAAAAATCAACCTAACTTAAGTGGTTTGAAATCTCACAATGCTGGTCTCCTTCCAGTTTATTTTCACTCTCCTCAGATCCCAAAATGCAGCAGCTTGTAATTCAGGAAAAAAAAAAGTGTTAAAAACAGAGCACATGAACTACTAAGGATTCTGTGATGATTCAAATAACCTGAAAATATTTTTCCAATCTGCTCCTTTTCTCCACAAATGTCCAACCTGAACATTTAGGCTAAAATAAAAACTAAAATTCCAGCATTAGGTAGATAGGTATCCCCTACATACTTATGCTTATTGCATGTTTTATGTGTAACCATACCACTGTGACCTTTCTAGACAAATTGATTAGCTCCATATTTATCGAAAGATGCTATTTTTAACGTGTAAACGAGGATTTATGGAAACACAGAAGCTAAATGCATGGGTTTATGACAGAATGGAACATCACAAGGAGGTTTGGAGGTTATTTCGGATGATGATGGTCTGTATTTCACAGAAATGAGTTTGATGACGGTCTAAATCTAGGAGAAGATGAGGCACTGGGGGGCAGGACCTGCTGAAAGACAATGAAACCTAAAGTGCTGGTGGCAGTCATTCACTTACTGCTCTTTGACTCAGAAGGGAGGAAAAACATGAGCTGCAAAGACTGGGATTTACTGATGATCAGCTTAATGCTCCTTTGATTGATTTTCTTGTTTTTCAGTTTGTATGTCTCACCAGCAGATTAAATTATTAAACATCACCTAAAGCAAACTGATACAGAGATACTAGACTAGAAAATCAGAGCTGGGATTTGTTCCAGAGAGATTTCGGTTTTACTTCTATAACTGAGAAAGAGTTTTGACTTAATCAGAGTCACGGCTTGGTGAAATAACTTACAAAGCTACAAGACTTTTCAATAACTTTATGGAGAAGATGCACTGACATTGCAACAAACACATTTCATTTAGATTTTAAAGCAAAGACCAACATGAAGAAGGGCATATTAGTAAAGAGAAAGCAAAATGGCACCTGGTTTACATAATTACCTGCAATAAAATGTAAATTGTAGTGTGGATTTGCAGTCAACATCCTCAGTGTAATAACTTTTTTCTGCAATTATAGCATCCGACTTACATTACATGTAAAAAGTGAAGTTTGTTATTCTTTCTGCTTGCAATACAGCTCAAGCTTCATCAGATTGGACAAAGAGGAAACTTCAGCATTCATTTTCGAATGAATGCTGAATGCTAAAGCAAGGCTAAGGCTTGGACTTTGACTTGCACATAAATCTGCTTTGATAATTATTGCTTTGTTTTGGAAGCATCCAGGAATTTAAAAATAATTAAAACACAAAACAATGCATGTCTAATCAGGCCACCTTTTAGTGTGTCCATTTTTACTGATGAGATCTTCACTGTTCACACCAGATAATTACCCACAGAGGAGTCGGGTCACTTAACTGTCTGATTCGGCTATTCAAGAAGCTGTTTTTTTTTTTTTTCCTCCAGTTGTTATTGCAGCTCATCCCAATTAGTCCTCAGTATCAGCAACTGTGAGTGTCAATGTGTACATGTGAGTATCTACTAAGTGCCTGTGAGTGCACAGGCTCCCTTTGTGGACATGCACATGCGTATCTGCAGAAAGACGATCGTGTGTGTGTGTGTGTGTGTGTGTGTGTGTGTGTGTGTGTGTGTGTGTGTGTGTTGCAGTCATCTGTAGCTGTAAGTTGATGAGCTCCCTGATCCAGAGACTAGAAAATGCTGTGAGCAAATCAGCCTTTCAGTTTCTTCCTGCTCGTTGGTCAAGGATACACAGAGACGCACATGGCCGTATCTTAAGCAGGGCACGTTATGAGCTGAACCCTTCTAAACATTGCTCTAGCAGCTTGAAGCGGGGTCGACGACCTATCAGAAAAGGAGCAGAGAGGCGGTGGTTCAGTTCTGCAGCATTTCCACAGCCTCTGCTGACAGCTAAAGATTCTGCTCAGTGAGTTTTCATGAAGTGTTACGATCCTGTTTTATGTTACCGCTGATCCGTTTTACTGTTTGATGATGTGTTTATTATTACGGCCTGTATGGTACACACTTCCAGCTGTTACTGGAGGGCACAGGTCTCCTGTTTTTAATGAGGTAGTCTTAGTGGCCCATTACTGGTCTCCAGTGACATGTAAACTAATAAGCAAAAGCCCCTTCTGGCTTCAAATCCCACAAAAGTGGTTGTGTGGTTGTGTTTTCTGCACATAAAAGGGTTGCTTTTCACACACACACACACAAAAATTCTAATTATTCTTTTAAAGAGTTTAATCTTTTGGAAAGAAATGGTGCTATTTAACATACTTTTCTTTTGTCTGCAAGACACTGGTATTATTAAATATAAATACGACTTATATAACACACTGGTATCCGTACCGGTCATTTTCTTTGTGCTAATGAGGCGCTGTGCTCTAAAGACTCGAATGCTTTCCTCTGGATTTTCTCATCCCGTTATAAGTCTGAGGATGAAAGTTGATCTAAAAGTCGTTTTTGAAGGGAAATGTTTCCACTCACTGGTGTCGGTGGTGTCATACTGGGAGTCTTTTTGCAGCTCGTATATGTCCACCTCCACTCGGGCTTGCACTGAACCCTCTATCACGCTGTTGATGTTCTCCCTGGCCAGGGCCAGCGCCAGCCGCTCCCCGCGCCCACACACAGACTGGTCATCCAGAATGGCAGCTAGAGAATTAGAGAGAGAGAGAGAGACAGAAAGAAACGGAGAGTCAGGGACACCAGGGGAAGAAACATGGAGTGTAACGATAAAGGGAATGTCAGGACAGAAACAAACAAATGAATCATAACAAGGAATAGAATATTTTCACAGCATAACAAGGTTGCTCCTTAATAGATCCCCACTTCCAGCCGCTAAAGGACTAGAGGGAGTTTTGTATGCTGCTTTTAGGACATGAAAAGAAATCCGAAGAAAAAGAAACAACCTCATTTACTGCCTTCCAAATAGTCTTTTCTGAGGACACTTTATTCAGTGTCTTGAAAAGCATTTAATCTTTCAAGATTTTGCCGTTGCAGCAACAAATTACACCACAGTCTCAGGGTACATAGCTGTACTTTTCATCTAGTTATTAACTGCTTTTTATTTCTCTTTCACACTGTCTATGTGAAAATGTTCCAGTTCAACGAATCTATATCTAGGGGTGTGAGAATCCTTGTTAAATGACGTTTATTTAAAGTC